TTTCCAGAGAAAGAGTTCATAATGAGAAGAACTCGTCATCTGAAGAAGGAAGAAGAAGTTCATAATGAGAAGAACTTGTTCAACCTTTTGCTTGAATTCATCACTTGATGGATCATCATTTCCAGAGAAAGAGTTCATAATGAGAAGAACTCGTCATCTGAAGAAGGAAGAAGAAGTTCATAATGAGAAGAACTTGTTCAACCTTTTGCTTGAATTCATCACTTGATGGATCATCATTTCCAGAGAAAGAGTTCATAATGAGAAGAACTCGTCATCTGAAGAAGGAAGAAGAAGTTCATAATGAGAAGAACTTGTTCAATCTTTTGCTTGAATTCATCATTTGATGGAACATCATCCCCAGCAGAAAGTTCGTAATGAGAAGAACTCATCTGGAGAAAAAGAAGAATTTATTCAATATCTCCAAAATGATCAAAGTAAAGTCAAATGGATAAAAAATTTTATTATCTTTTCATCTTTGCCCTATTCTTGTTAACACAAGAATGAGCAAAGAGGGGCAGCTGAAGATACTATTTTTTATCCATATTATTATTATTATTATTATTATTATAAATATTATTATTATCATTATTAATATTATTATTATTTTTATTATTATTATTATTATTATTATTTTATTATTAATATATTAAATACATATAAATCACAAACCAATTACAATTCAACCGGCCCAGTTACAAACCAACTGAAACCGGTCCAAATCCAACCAGAAACCCTAAATATTTGGGTTTCCAGTTAGGGTTTCCTAACCCTAATCATCCTCAGCCGTCTCATCACAGCCGTTGGATCTGGCACGATCCAACGGTCCACATAGCTCCAGAGAGGAACCCTAGGGTTTGATACCCTAGGGCCACGCGGCGCCGCCCCAGCTTCCACGCGGCTGCCGACAGTCTTCTCGCCGCCTCCGCCGCTGCCACGTCCCGAATGAAGGCTCCAGAAGATCATACCAGCCGTCCACGCCATGGCTACTCGGTGAGTCACCACTGGTAGTCCGGTGACTCACCGAGAGCCCTTCTTCGGACCGGTCCGACGGCTACAACGGTGGTGGCTATAAAAGCCACCACCCCACCTGCAAAAAAAAAAAGAGACAGAGACAGAGACAGAGACAGAACCGGAGAGAAAGAAAAAAAAAAGACAAAGAAAAGAAAAACAAACAAACTATACCAACGATCTCAGCAGCAAAGAACCAGAAGAAAAAAAAAAGAAAGAAAAAGGAAGAAGAGGCTTACCAAGGAAACCTTGACCGTCGCCGGAAACACTGAACATCGCCGGAGAACCAAAAATACCGAAGGTACTTTTGTAGATTTGCTCCGATTGGGAGCCTTTTAGGAAGAAATAACACCGGAACCGTCCTTAGGACGGTCCGATCTATATATTAGTGTAAAGAAAAATTTTTCCGGCCACCGCATGCGGTGGCCGGCGGTGATGGTCACGGCGGCAGACGGTTGCCGTCCGGTGACCGGCTTCCCTCCGGTGAGGGAAGCTAGAGAGAAGGCAGAGAGTTTTAAAACTCTCTCTGCTAGAGAGAGAAAAAAAAAAGAAATGAAATGGCTGGCCCTTCGGGCCAGCCGGTTTGGACCATTTATAGTCCTTCCCAAACGACGTCGTTTCGGGAAGGACTATACGCGTAATTATGAAATAGTTAAACCCCGTCCGCAGTCCTCCGGATTTGTAAAATTTACATTTTAGTCACTAAATTAAATTTATAATATTCTTAATTTAGTCTTCGAATTTTAATTTAATTTATTTTAGTCCTTCATATTAAAATAATATATTTAGGATAAATTACAGATTTGATCCATTAATTTCTATAAATAATTTTTTAATCCCTAGTTTATATTTTTAATTTATTTCATTATAAAATTCGAATTTTAGATAATTTTATTTTAGTCACTAAATCATTAAATCAGAAAATAACATATTTGATCCCTATAATTTTGATTAATTACGAATTAGACTTTTAATTTTATTTTTACTGTAATTTAGTCATTTATTTTATATGTTTTCTTTTATTTTATTGTTTTTAAATATATTGTTTTAATAGTATTTTTATTTTTATGAATAAATATTTTTATATTCATAAATATATATAATAGTAATTTTTAAATATTTATCTTAATAAATCGAAGAAAAGGAAAGTCTTAATACAACTGGATGTCCTATTCTGATATTTTAAAATTAAAAATTAAATAATATTATTTATCAATATCAAAGAAAAAGAGCTGTCTTAAGGCACCTAGAAGTTCTTTTTAGATATTTTTAAATAAATAAATATTTTATATATATAATTTTGAAAATAATAGAATTAAATAAATTTTCGAATTTTTAAATTTTAATAATAGAGACAATTTATAATTGCAAAGTACCAATTTTGGGCGTTGTAGGGGTGCTAATCCTTCCCTAAACGTAACCGACCACGAATCCCTTTTTATTACTAAAAAGAACGAATTTTTGGTTATAAACGCAGATCAGTTTAATTTTTTTTAATTGATATTTTCTTAAAACTCTTTTAAAAGATATTTTTTAGGTATTCAACCTACCTGACCCAAAAGGCCGATGGCGACTCTTAAATTATTTTCAAAATTATTTATTCACATCAATTTCCTCGCCCAATTTAATATTTCGTGCCCGGACGAAAATCGGTTACGACAGCGATGAACAGTTCTAGGAGAAGAACAACAAAGCAAAAAACCATGACTATTTCTCTCTGTGTTTTCTATCTCTCTCTCTCTCCATTTGTTTATGTGTTGTAGCTGAAGGAGAATTACATGCATGGAAGGCTAAAGATTAAAAAAGGGAAGTAAACGATAGGCACCGCGTGTAGTCTATTGCGAACCATTCGCTGCTGGATTCAACGATCATGATTTCTCCAGTTTGTTTCAATTTATTATAAATAGATTCTGTATTTAAACTAATCTTCACCAACATATTTATTCGTCTCATCTTAGTTAAAGTGACCGCAACCACATTTTATTCTCTTTTGATCAATCGGGTATAGACCTTCCAATAATCTCGGAGTCGGTTTAAAATCATTTTCATAAGTGCATGGAGTTGATGATTTATGAGTAATTTTGGCCACCTCGACGTTATCCGTTTCGACTTCAAACTTCTGAATACCCAGTCTCTTCGCATGTTTGAGAATTTCATGCAATGCCCATAATTCTGCTATCTAAGCCGAACAACAACTCCCAAGGCTCTTGGTGAAACCAAATATTCGTTTTTTCAGTTCATCTCTAATGACACCACCTACCGACGCATCTTGATTGGTACCATGGACGACGCCGTCTGAATTTGCTTTTAGTCAACCACGAGGAGGGCGTACCCAAGGTGTAACTTTTTGTTGAACTCTACTCCTCTATAGGGATGGCAATAGATACCCTCCGTTCAAACCCTACCAAACCCGAAAATATATACTCTTCACTCGACTTGAAAAATATGTATAATTAAATCGATCCGATCCCGATCCAAATTTTTAAAGTATAAATCTAACCCGATCATATATAAAATGACTTAATTAAAAAATAAAAAAAGAGAGGATATTATAACAATTATCCATAAATTTATTTGAAGAAATTACACTATTACCTCGATCGGGTTGAGTCGAAGTTTTTTTTACCCTCTACCGACCCAACCCAACCCGACCTCACACCTTTATAAAATCTAACCTGACCCGAAATCAATTTTTTTTTTAAAAAAAATCAACACTATCGAATTAGATCAAATCTAAATCCTTTGGTTTCGGGTAAATTACCATCCCTACTCCTCTCTGTCTCTTCTCTCCCTTGTGCATGCATACATATAAACATACATAAGGCTGGCAATGAGTTAGGTTAGATAGGATTTTTAATCAATACAAATATGATCCGAGAATTATATCATTCATTTGACATTTAATCCGACTCAGATTTAAATTTTTTAACCGAATCGAGTCTTGATCGAAATTTTAAGATAAAAGCTCAAACCGACTCAAATATAAAAAAATCATTTTTATTCGATAAAATAAGATCTAATTGAAAAAAAAATATAAAGAGAATGATATAATACTAATTATCCTTAAATACATAAAGGTCAATTATACTATTATTTTTGTATTAAGCATTTTTATCTTAAATTCAAGTCTGATCCGATCTAATTTTAAATTTTAATTTAACTTTATAAAATTATATCAAATTGAAACACGTTGGTTTTTTTTATCAAATTATCATCCCTATACATATACATTTTGCCATTTTGGTTGCCACCCATGTGTGCGTTTATTTTCTTTTCTCAATTTTCCTCTTTTATCTTTAAATAGAAATATATTATCTTTAAATTTAATATTTTTATTTCAATTTAGATCATAATTTTTTATATTAATTTTTAAATTTATTTTTAAAAATCCTTTTAATGATATAAAACATTAAAATTATATTCACTCAGATTTATCAAGAAAAATGTTGAATTTGACAAAAAATAACTAGACACTTAAATTATATTAAAAAAAAGCATATTTTAAGCACCTACTTTTCAAATAAATATTTTTAAAAAAAATAATCATCTAATAATGTGTTTTGATTATGGATAAATATTTGATACACTGAAGGTGTATAATTTTCTACACTATCATTAAAAGTATCATCAAAATAGATAAAACATTAAACACACTAAAAATATATAAAATTATATATTATTAGTGCATCAAATATTAATCATTTTATTAACTTACTACTATTAATTATTTTCCAGTTGTCTTTTCATTAATTTTCAATAAGTAAATAGTAAGTTTTATTTTAAGTTTAGTTAAAATTTATTATTATTTTAATTTAATCAGATTATAAAAGTCAACTAGATGAAATTAAAACAAAAATCAAATCACTCGAATAACTTAATTCAAATTATTAAATAATTTGATTTGATTAACCCTAATCACGTCGGTTCCAGAAAAATATGAACACGCATCACCATGATTCATGCATAAAAAAGCTCTGATTCAATAACATGCATCACCATCAACATTATTCATGCATAAGATAATTGGTAATATAATTCACTAATACAGGTTCTATTATAATAAAACAACTATAAAATCGGTAAAGACAGAGAGCCACATACTGCTACTGTGTCATGTAATAACTCAGTATAACTCCGAACATAAACTTGGAACTATAACAAATGAAAATGTGGTGCAAATGAAATTTGTATAATCGGATTATTGTCTCTGAAAAATGTGGTCTATGCCACGGCTGGCATGTCCTTCAGCCATTGATCCAATGGCTTGCCGATGGAGTAGACGATGAACCCGATTTCCCGCAGCTTAGCCTCGTCTACGATGTTCCGACCATCGAAGATGAATGCAGGCTTCCTCATGTTGTCATAAATCCTTTGGTAATCGAGGGTTTTAAACTCGTCCCATTCCGTCAGAATGCAAACCCCGTGAGCATCCTTTGTTGCTGCATAGGTATCCCAAACAACGTTGACTTGCTTGATCGAAGTAGGGCTCATTGGCTGAAGGTGAACCGGATGGTCCCAATCGAACTTCTTCATTGCAAGGTCCCTCTGAATCTGCTCCTCGTTGACTTGAGGGTCGTAGATGCTCAGTAGAGCCTTGTCGCCCAACAGCCCTTTGCATACGTCGATTGCTGGGGTCTCACGAGTGTCACCGGTGTCCTTCTTGAAAGCAAACCCGAGAATGGCAATCTTCTTGCCTGAAACAGTGTTAAACATTGAGGAAACAATCCGGTTTACAAACCGAGTTTTCTGGTAGTCGTTGATCTTGATGACTTGTTTCCAGTAATTGGCAACCTCGGGAAGGCCATTGCATTCACATATATAGACCAAGTTCAGAATATCCTTTTGGAAACATGATCCACCAAAACCGACACTAGCATTCAAGAACTTGGGTCCGATCCTCGTGTCTTTCCCGACAGCATGTGACACTTGACTCACGTCAGCGCCGGTTGCCTCGCACAAGGCGGACATAGCATTAACCGAAGAGATTCTCTGTGCCAAGAAGGCATTGGCAGCAAGCTTTGATAACTCCGCAGACCAGAGGTTGGTGCATATGATCCGGTCCGCAGGGACCCAATTCGCATACACGTCCCTCAACGCTTCAATTGCCTTTTGACCTTCTGGGGTCTCCCTGCCTCCGATAAGAACCCGGTCAGGATTGAAAAGGTCCTGAATCGCGGTTCCCTCGGCAAGGAATTCCGGGTTCGAGAGAATCTGAAAATCGATGCCTTTACTATTGTGGTTCAAAATTTTCTCTATCGCCTCAGCTGTTTTAACAGGAACAGTGGATTTCTCGACCACAATCTTGTTAGATTTGGATACATCAGCAATCATACGAGCAGCACTCTCCCAGTAAGTCAGATCAGCAGCTTTCCCAGCTCCGAGACCTTGCGTTTTCGTCGGGGTGTTAACCGAAACAAACACGATATCAGCCTCCGAAACAAGCTTCTCCACATCGGTGCTAAAGAAAAGATTCTTCCCTCTACACTTCTTAACAACCTCGTCAAGCCCGGGCTCGTAGATCGGAAGCACATCACTGTTCCAGGCAGTGATTCTCGAGACAGATATATCGACAACGGCCACTTCAATTTCAGGGCATTTCAATGCAATAACAGCCATTGTCGGCCCACCGACATAACCAGCACCAATGCAACAAATCTTCACCATTTTCAATATCCTACGAACATAAAAAATAAAACACCCGATTTCTTATCAGATCATGTAGTGTTTAAAGAACAGCTCCCTAAGATATTACTAATTAAACATCGGAATTAGCAAATAATGATGTCCGCAGCAATAAAATAATCGGATCCATTTCTAAGTAAAACAAAAACAAGACAAACATCGATGAAACTACTGACAGAAATCAGATCTATGGTTTCCGGAATAAAAAACAGGGAATTAAAACATCAGAGTTCCGACATGTAAACCGACCAAGAACATGCAGTCAAATTTACTAATTCCTTTTAAAAAAAATAAACTAGAACTTCAAGTAAAGACATTTATCTTAGAGATCTGATAAAAAAAACAACAGATCCACCAACTAACAAATCCAAAAAGGAACAAAACGGAGTCAAAATTGTAGACCCCAAGGGAATAAAGTTGACAAGTGCAAAATCAAAGCCGAAAAGAGAAGAAGAGATTAAATTACCTTCGTGGGTCTTGAGTTGTTAGATCAAAAGGGAAGGAAACAAAATTTGTGTGAAGAATGAGAACAGGGAAAATATTTTGAGGTGAAGAATGAGAAAGACCGACGACCTTTTAAACTGTATTTATAGAGTCACCTAATTGCCTTGAAGACCCAACTTTATTATTTTTTAACTCAATTTAATAGTTCTACCATAAACTATACCTTTAGTACCTAAACTATTACTTTTATTCTATTTCTGTATCTAAATTTTATTTTTCTTAAAATTATGCCTAACTTTTAGTTTATGTTTCGTTTTGGTACTCTATTGTTAAAAATTTAGTGGTGATGTTGATGTGTCACAATAAGTTAATGCCACATCAATATTGAGAAAAAATAAAAAAAATATTACGTCAACAATTATGTTAGTTTTTTATAACAAAATATCAGATTTAAACCTAAACTAAATATCATGTATGATTTTGAAAACATATATAGTTTAGGAACCAAAACATAACATAAGTAATAATCTAGATACTAAACATGTAGTTTACCCATAGTTTAGATAAATTACACTAGGACGAATCAAGCGACATCGGTGCTAAATGAATTATTGTTATTCATTGAGGTCTCGGGTTCGAGCAGCATGAGCCAAGAGTGTAAGCGTTCAATATTAAATGATTAATAGTTATCTTTAAACAGATATTGCCTTGTACTCACCCTAAATTAATATAAATAAATAAACTAGTGGTAGCTTAACTACATTCAAATGATCATTTTGATCATTGAACTTTTAAAAAATTACAAAATAATAATTACTCCTATTATATTTTATCAAATTGTTATAAAATATTCATTAAATTTATCAAAAATTTACTCTTATTATAACATCTTAGTAACAATTTTATTATCATATCATAATTTGTGATATAATAATTTTAAAAATAACTCATAATTTGCAATTTGAAAATTTTGATCGTAATTTTAACGTCTATTTAATTTTACCGTTAATTGATGATATAAAAACTATAAAAATATAAAATAATTGTCAGTCCTTAATGTTTATAAAGCTTTTATCAATTTTATTATTGAAAAGTTGTAAAAATATATTATTGAAAAATCACATTATTTAATTAATAATAATTATATATTTTTAAATCAATTTAAAATTTTATAAAAACTATAATTATAAGGGGCCAAAAAGTTATTTACCTTGCAATTAGCAGCAAAATTGAATAAAAATTTGGGATGAGATCAAAATATTCAAATAGAAAATAATACAAGGATTCGATTTTATAAAAATAAAGTAAAAAGACTAAAGTTTAGAATATTAAATAACCCAGGGACCTCTCATATATTAAACCACTTATTTATATAATATGTTTGTTGGAATTTCCAGAGCATTTAGAAGCAGTTGTATAAGGCCAGATGTGCAAAAGCTTTATATTTTGTTAATATTATTAAGCATGAGAGCGTGACAGATAGTTTGTCTATTTTGCATATTTGATTCCTTAAGGACCACTTTTACTACCATGATTGCGATTCTATTTTGATTTTTTTAATTAATTATTATTATCCGATCTATTGACCGACTAATTCAGATTAGATACCGCAGAGGTGAGGGCGACCCTCCCAACTCAGTTTGCTCCATTCACAAACATCAATATTCGAACCCCTAACCTTACTTAAGGGACATGTGTTTAATCCCACTAAACCAACTGATTGTTGGTGATTCCATTTTGATTTTAAAATGTGATTATTTTTCTGTATTTTAATTGATTTTAGATGTCATATATTCATATTCTTTTTACACTTTTTGTTATTTATTATGTTATTATCATAATCTATTTCAACGTCGTTTGACGAATTTAAAAATTGTCATTAAATATAATATAATTGACGTGTGACGTGGTAATTAATTTTGTCCAGATTAATGGTGCCTCTCATCATATCATTCGCGTTACTGTGTCGTTAAGCCTTTAAAACAATGCCATAATGAGTTAATGACAAAAATCACAACTTTCATCGACGGTCAAATAAAGAATAAATTATTCATTGTCTTATTTTATAATTGTATATAGATATTAAAATGAGATTTTTTTTATTAAATGATATTTAAATAAAAAGTTGATGATAAACTCTGTTTATATTTTGTTATGTGACAATTATTGATTAAAAATTAGTGCAATTTAAACGTTATGATGTAAACTATGTATCAACATTCAACAACTTAATAATTTGATGGGTGGAGGAAGAATTTCTTTGAACAAAACTGGCAATTGAAATAGACCTAAAACCTACCACCTAATCGTGCACAAGTTAGGGCATCGTTTTCAAAGTTGCAAGCAACTAACTAAATATTTAAGTCAAGATCTCAAGTGTTAAACCCAAATTGGAAGATGACCAAACTACAAGGAATTGACACAACAACTTAAAAACATTACATTGATTTCTATATATATTTTTTATAATTTCGAATGATTATGAAATAGTACGTGTTCGGAAATTTTTTAATCTATTTGTAATATGTATATATGGTATATCTTGTAGACATACCTGATTGAACTCGAATAGTTTAAAAAGAATAATATTTTTTTCTGCCGTGGACTACACAATAAATTATGGTGTTGGATGTAAATGATAGGTCATCGAATATATATATATATATATTCATATTCAATAGATTTATAATTCTAATAATTCGAAGAGGAAAATAGAAATTTAACATGTGATTATTTTATGAAGTAAACAATACATCAGCAAATGTTACAGGCAAAGGTGGTGGGATTCCATTGCTGTTGAGGCCAAACCGCATAAGGATTCCATTGTCGACCTTCCATACGTTTACGGTAAGGAGGCGTTTTTTTGAAAATAAGATAATTAGAATACAATATTACTTGATATATTATGGAATATCATATTATTGTATTTGGCATATATGGTAAAAATGTAATATTACAGTATTTGATTGAAGGAATAAAAAATTATTGAAATATATATAAATACTAAGGATGATGGCTAGAAGTTTATAAGTCTTGAAAATTGTGTATAACCGTAATCATATTGTATTCTTATTATTTTTGAGATTGATGAAGTTTTCTTCTTTTACTCGTAATTTTTCAATTAAAATCTCGATCGATTAAGTCTCGAAAATCATTGATAATCACAATACTCTTATGTTATTATCATTATTCTTTATTGTTTAATGAATAATTAAGATTGTTATAAAATAAATTTAAAATATTATTTTAAAATTTAAATTTTAGCACAATTTATAAAAAAATAATGAACATAAATAGAAATAGATTGAGATATAATAAGTGGATGGTAAGATCTTTTAACTAGAAAACTTATTAGATTTGATAGTTTTTAAAAATATTTAAGAGATATATATATATATATATATATATATATATATATATATTGATAAGATAAATATTTTTAAATTATTGCAGTTAAGTAAATGATAATTCTTTAAAAAATATAAAAATTGGTTATGTTTGAAATTTTGAAATTTTGAATGTTTTGACAGTTTTAATAAAATTGGATTTTAATATGAATATATTTATTTCAATTTAAATTATTATTATTTAGTGTATTGATAAGTGAAAAATAATTAAAAAATTATTATATCTACCGTAAAAATTAGAAAATATACTTTCCTTTTAAAAATATTTTATTTACTAAAAAAAAATATTTTCTTCTTCACTCGTTCACTCTGTCGTTCTCTGCATTTGTCAAATTCGGATTTTGAATCTCCACCGGTACGCTCCCATGTAAACCCTAATTTGCTTCTTCTTTATTTTAAACTTTTCCAGTTTTCGATTTACTATTCTTTTTTTTTTTGCTTTTTCAATGATTATTGTTTCCTTTTTGAGATCTAACTTTCCTTTAACGGATTCCCCCAAACGGAACGATTTACATTTTTATAGGAAGTCTGCATTTTATGTGTACTAAATTTTATGTTGTAAGCTCTAGAATACCGTAGTTTCAATACCGTTTCATCTGCCAAAGAGACCGTTAAATTATTCTCTCGTGTGAAATCCTGATTTCATTGGATTATTTGCAGCTTGATGCAATTGGTTGCTTGCTTGTTGCAAACTGAGGAGTTGGCATTACTCAAAATTTAGTTCCGATCGGCTCTGTTTGGAGTACGGTGAAAAAATATATAGTGCAATAAATTTCGGTTCAGTTTTGATTTTCGTAGCTTTTCTTTATACTGGCCGTGGTGGATTTATGGTGAACTTTGGTATTTTCCGTTATCTTCTTATCTATTGCTTGTGATGATTGGGTAGAGATCCGTGAGAACAGGAGTGTAGAGGAGTGCAATTGGTTGTTTACTTGTTGGAAACTGAAGAGTTGGCATTACTCAAAATTTAGTACAGATCGGCTCTGTTTGGAGTAAGGTGAAAAAGAATATAGTGCAGTAAATTTCGGTTCACTTTTTATTTTCGTAGCTTTTCTTTATACTGGTTATGGTGGATTTTTGTTGAACTTTGGTATTTTCACTATCTTCTCATAAGTTGCTTGTGATGATTGGGGAAAGATCCGGGAGGGCAGGAGTGTAGAGGAGGTGGTTTCAATGCTTATTGGTCTTGTTCTGGTTAATGCTAACACATATATAGAAGATTATATGTGATGATAGGTTATGTTTTCCGTGGTTCTTGTAGATTTAAACTAAATGGACTGGTTATTTAGTGGTTTTCCCAGACCTCTATTGTTTAAAGCTTTGGACATGAGAAGAGAAGTCCTTGGGTTAATAAACTTTCTGTTTCTTGCGGCCGTAGACTGCCGGTCTGTTGGTTGTTATTGTGCTTCGTCTGCTTGCTTGTACTGATTGCAGTCTTAGGATCGATATTTTCTAATTCCTTTGACTCCATAACTTTCACTCCGGTACCTGAGATTTATTCAAACTATAGAAGGTTAAAGGAGCAAGTGGCAGTCGATTATTTTCAGCTGAGAACTGTCTCGTCAGGAGCTGGTCACCAAGAGGAGGTTGGCTTATGCGCAAAAGAAAGAGAAAATTATGTTCCTTGTTACAATGTGACGGAAAATTTATTGTTAGGGTTTACAGATGGAGAGGAGTTTGATCGGCATTGTGAAGTATCAAGCCAAGGAAAGTTTTGTTTAGTCCGCCCACCAAAGGATTATAAGATTCCACTTCGTTGGCCTGCTGGTAGGGATGTAATATGGAGTGGGAATGTCATGATAACCAAAGACCAATTCCTTTCTTCTGGAAGCATAACAAAGAGGTATTTATTAAATGCATTTGGATGTTTCCCAAAAGTAGGAGAAAGTATCAGGCATGTCTCCCTTTGTTACAAACTTTGCCTTTTAGAATTTGCTATGTAGCAGCTTATATCCTTCATTCTTTGTTCTTTATGCGATCAAATACAGCTTTCTAATCTACCTTCATAATCTTTTAATGAACTGTATAGAATGATGTTGCTCGAAGAGAATCAAATTGCTTTTCACTCTCAGGACGGCTTAATCTTTGATGGTGTCAAAGATTATACTCGCCAGTTTGCAGAGATGATGGGACTGGGAAGTGACTCTGAATTTTTTCAAGCTGGCGTAAGTCTTTAATTCATTCCATGATGCAATTTTTTCCCTTTTGGGGTACCATGAGCTATGAGTGTTTGGTATTTCAGAATCGTTTTTCCCCAATATTTTAGATTGTCATGTTTACTAATATGAGAAAGATAATTTATGTGTACGGTCTTCAAGGTAAAGTAAAACTGTCTGCCTGCATTACATGGTATCTAATGATCCTACTTTGGTTACAGGTACGCACTGTTCTTGATATTGGTTGTGGATTTGGAAGTTTTGGAGCTCATTTAGTTTCACTAAGGTTGATGGCTCTTTGTGTTGCTGCATATGAGGCAACCGGAAGCCAAGTTCAAATAGCTCTGGAGAGAGGTCTTCCAGCAATAATTGGCAATTTTATATCAAGACAACTACCATATCCATCATTATCATTTGACATGGTTCATTGTGCACAGTGTGGTATTGTTTGGGACAAGAAAGGTACTTTCAGAGGTTAATAGTATTGCTTCCTGTGGTAAAATTACTTATGCTTTACTTTCTAACTATGATTTTATAAAATAGAGGGGATGTTTCTTATAGAATTTGATCGGTTACTCAAGCCTGGAGGTTATTTTGTTATAACCTCTCCCATTAGTAAGTTACATGGACGTGCAGCAAGTAAGAAGAAAAGAAGCATGTTAACACCACTGGCAGAATTCACTGAAAAAATTTGTTGGAGTCTTATTGCTCAGCAAGACGAGACATTCATCTGGCAGAAAACTGCTGATGCTCACTGCTATTCTTCTCTGTGAGCATACACTGATAATTTTCATTCTTTTCAAAGTGACATTCAATTTCATTGAGTAATGAGTTCGAGTAATTGTGTCAGTAGAATATGTGTGTTACCCACTAATTTAAAAAGAATATTATATTGTAATTACCCTAAACTATTAAAAAAAAAAACTCTCTCCCCATAATCACAATCTTAAAGATGTCCATTGTCTACTTGATTTGATTAAAAAACTAAAAGAAAATGAGTTTTTAATTGAGTTACTCGTTTTTTTAGTTTAAGTCGAATTATTATTATTTTTTAACTCAAATAAACTGTGGTGTAAAAACGAGTATCTATCAATTATGAAAATATACAAATAGATAAACTTCAATTTAAAAAAAATCATTTTTTATAATAAATTAGTTTAAATATTTAAGAAATAATATAGTAAAAATATTAATTATAGATATCCTATTATCTAATCTTGACTCCATTTCTAATTCTCCTCGAATTTATTTTCATGGCCGATAATAGAAACCTAATTCAAATAAGCGATCCTCTTACGGTAGCCAACTCATGTTTTTAGTTTTATAAGCTTAATATTGTTTTGTTTGATTGGTTGGAACTTTAGTCACTTATTATATTTAAAAAAAAACATTTTACTCAATTTTATTTTATTATACTCAACTTTAATTATTTTGTTGGTAAAACTTTGATTATGATGAATTGTAGTATACTGTTAGAAAGAACACTACACCTCCATAATTATTAGTAATCCTGAAACCAACAGTATATATCTTTGAAATCAGTAGTTGTTCCGATTCTTCCTCGATCATGGTCCCTTTACTTTACCTAGTGGTGTTCTTAGCCCTCACTGGTCATTCAAGTAAGATCCTTGTTTTTCAACTTAAGATCCATAGCTCAAGATTTCTGAGATGGGTTTCAAGGATTCTGATAGCAATATTTGTTGATTTCTGAGGAAAGGGTGTTTTGATCTGTTTATGCTTTGCTGCAGGTGCCACTTACTGTTTGTGCAAAGATGGAGTGAGTGAGCAGGTGCTTCAGAAAACACTGGATTATGCGTGTGGAGCAGGAGCTGATTGTTCTCCGATTAATCAGAATGGTGCTTGTTATAATCCCAACACTGTGAAAGATCACTGCAATTATGCAGTCAATAGTTATTTCCAGAAGAAAGGTCAAGCTCAAGGGAGCTGTGATTTTTCTGGCACTGTCACTGTTAGTGCAAATCCTCCTCCAAGTAAATTCCCTTCAAACTCAATCCATTTCACAACATATAAATGTTTTGGATTTTTCGTGATTTTCTTTGTGATTTTTGCAGATGTGCCTTCTTCTTGCAGTTTTCCTTCAAGGTATGGTTATTGGTACCCTTTGTTTGGTCTCTCGGAAAATTTTATTTATGAATGGATGTGTCATGTGTGTTTATTTTGTTAAATTTTGCAGTAGCTCAAGCTCGACACCAACAACGCCGACCATGGGTACTCCTCCGACAACTCCGAGCATGGGTACTCCTCCGACAACGCCGACCATGGGTACTCCTCCGACAACTCCGACCATGGGTACTCCTCCAACAAATCCAACCCCGTGTACTCCGACAACGCCGAGCACGGGGACAAACAGCGGCTCGACCAACGAGACTCCGGTATTCGTTGGTGGTGGCAGCTCCACGCTGGGACCAACGGGGACAACCACAGGATTCGCTGATCCCAATCGTGCTGTATCTCTCTTCACAAGCACCATCAACATTCTCTTCACTTCTGCCATCACACTTTGGATTGTTGTAGGCTGCTCTTGGATCTGAGGAGGCAGCATCAACATTCATGCATGTGTATGTATGCATGTTATGTATGTATGTATGTAGAGCGAAAACATGAGATTTGGACATGAGCAGATATGTTTTAAGATTCATATATGGATGTAGTTGTAGTAATCCTATGTACAAAAGTCATGGGAATTTGATTCCCTTTGAGAAAGGCTTCTCTCTCTCGCTGAAGTTTGACACATCAAAAGCTTCATCGTAAACGTGTTATTGTTTTATTAGTTCGTTTATGTTTGCCCCTTCCTACTAGGGGTGACTCATTGGGCATTTCATTAAATAGTTGATAAACTAACCTAATTAATTAAAATATATAATCGACATAATTAAAAACTAATTATAAATATTATTTTTATAAATGATTTATTTATTAAATAATTAAAGAATAATATTATTTTAGCACATTAGCCAGTACTTTCTCCTGTCCACATGGGCAGGAGCAACATTTTTACACCGATTTTAATTTTTTATAAAAAGATCCCGCAAGGACCATTTTTAAGTGAACATTGTTAGCTTAGAATTTAGATGGTTAAAGCTACATAAAAAATTATAAAAATCTAAAACCATCCCGTCACACCATACTTAGTCTCAAGTAAGGGGTAAATGAGATGAAACAGATAGAAAACTACTTGAGGTTGATTTGATCAAAGCTCGATAAATATTCAGATCGAATGGACTCGAATTCGGGCTCAACTCGAGTTCTTAACGAGCCGAAACGAGCTACTTGATATTCGACATAAAAAGCTCGTGAGCAGCTCGAAAATATAATATATTAAGATTTTATTTTTTAAAAAATAAATTATTAATAATATTAATATTTATGTATTTTTTTAAATACAATAAGATTTTTATGTATTTAAGATTCAAGTTCGAATTTGAGGCTTCAATCGAGTTAAGTTTAATTTTTTTTTCATTTCGAGTTGCTCACGAACTTCAGTTCAGGATTTCGAGTTCGAGTCGAGCTTGAAATTTTTAAGCTCGCGAGTTTTCGAGTTGAGTCGAGCTCCATTTCAGAGTTTTCGAGTCAAGTCGAGCTCAACGATACTCGAGCTCGACTCGGCTCGTTTACAACCCCTAGTCTCAAGACCATCTAATTCCCGTCATTTTAAATTTAAAAAAATGAAAAATGCATCAAACAATGAGTGCAAATACACAAAATGATAGTAAACTGGAAATAATATATGAAAATAGACTAATGTCAATACATATTAGTACCAAAGCAAAAGCCCCAGCCAAGGATGATGCCTGGATAGTGTTGCACTACATGGAAGTAATTAAAGGTTTTACAAACAACACACCTCAACAACAATAAACAACACCTGCAACTTCCTACTCTTCCCTTTACACAAAATATCATCACATTTTTTTATGTCTAGGGTCAGAACATTTTTTTCCCATAATCATACAGGGGGGAAAGGGATTTTATCAATACAATTGTCCTTCGTTTTGCGGCACCAGTGGTGGTTGTGTCAGTTCCGGCGGCTGAGCATCCTCTTGAATTGGTTTGCCGATGTCCATCGTGGCAAGTCCTTCCAACTCTTGGATTGCATCGATTGTACTGATGTTTTCTCTGCTGTACTGAGACTTTAGTACTTCAACTGCTTGCTTCACTTTCGATTGCTGCAATCAACATTTTCCAATCATATATAATACTAAACTTAAACTACTTGATACCGGCAGATACGAGTACAGTAGCATGATTAAAATCATCTCACTTACAAAGAATTCAAGTTTTCTCTTCAAATCTGCATATGTTGCTGCTCCGCCCGATGTCTTCATATAAAAAAGAAGAACAAGGTCAGTGACATTAGATCAACATAAGAACATCAAGCAGAAGATAAAAATTAAAACAAAACTGAAAAGCTTAGTGGCCTGTTATTACAAGTTGCAACATCATAGTGCTTATTTTATTGACCTAAATATCACTTAATCTACATACTCCCACTCTTCGTTGTCCCCTAAAATATCCGTATCCGACATATATCCAAACACGAGTACAGAACTTTGATCCTCCAAATTCGAGCACTGCGATGTTGCATTCATCCCAAGTCCGAGTAACGTATATCATTCTCTTAAATATTATGCATTTCTTCATCAAATTTCCCCATAATCTTTGTAAAGAATGATAAAAGTGACTAAAAGGATTAAGTCTGTTGTTTACTTCGAATACTTTTACATTGTAAGACGCCGCATTTATGACAAGTTATGCTTAGAATTATGCCCCAAGCTTAGACAGTTCCAGTCTAGTCTTCTACAGAAAACCATATATAAGTAAAGTGGTTTTACCTTCTTGGGACGGCCAACGGGTTTTCCAGTTGAAGTCCTGGGCTTGGCGGCGACCCCACCGATCTTCGGTGGTCGACCTCTCCCCTTTCCACGGACGGCATCGCCACCAGTAGCAGCTACGGTCGTGCCCTTGGGCCTTCCTCTGGGTCTCGGACTAGCAGCAATGACAGTCGTAGCAGCAGCAGTATCAGCATAAGGAACGGCCACGGGCTGACCCTGGTTCGGTATAGTAGCCGATTGAGGCAACTGGTTCAGGGCCTTGGGAGGCCGTCCGCGACCCCTTTTGATCGCATTGGCCCCCACCACTGACCTCACCGTCTTGGGCTTCCTCGGTCGACCTGGACTTTTCTTAGGTCCGGTTTTGGGTGGCCGACCCCGACCCTTCCTAACCCCAAGTTGATCGACCGGACCATTTTTCCGCGGCCTACCGGGTGTCCTTTTAGTCACATCGGGAATCGGAGCCGGCTGTTGCTGAGCCGGAACGGGTTCAGCGCCAGCAGCGGGGATTGCGGGTTTGGGTTTAGGAGGACGGCCACGGCTTCGTTTGAGGCCGGTCGAAGCATCGGGAGGAGTAGAATCGGGGATCGGAACTTCAGATCTGGTAGCATCAGAAGCCAGCTTGTAAGATTTCTTCACCATAACTAAGATGCCGTTGTTTTTCAAGCGCTTCAAGTGGTGAGTCAACAAGGCCGAGTGAGTTGGTGGCAAGTCCTTGTGAGCTGACTCTATGTATTTGGCTATAGCCCTTTTGCTTGACCCGTTGGCGTCTTTTAAACCCGCGATAGCCTCGCATATCATATCAGAGTAAGACGGGTGGTCGAAGCTCAGAGGAGGACCACCGGCCACCGTCGTAGCGGGCGGGGGGTTGGAAGCGAAGGGAGGTGCGACGACGGTGATGACGGGCGGGGGAGGGATCGGGGTCTGAGGACCTATAGCGATGGAAGAGAAAAAAGGGTCCATTTTTAGGTAGGGTGAAACGTCAGGAAATAGATAATTCTAGTAGAAATAAAGATGAATAAAATACAAAATTGGTTTTTAATTTTTCAAATGTAATAAATGTTATTTTAAATAAAAAAAAAAGTCAGATCTGGTTCTAATATAAGTGGGACCCACCATTATCCCTCCTTCAGCCAGAAAACCTTTTTTTTTTTTTACCGTTTGTTTGTTTGGCATTTTGAATTTAATTCAAAATGTTTTCATTTGCACTTGGATGCACCCCTGAATTTAATTGTATCCAGAAACATTATAGTCTCATATGTACTTATAAGCCCGTTAGATATACATAACTATTGAACATAAAAGCATCCCCAGCAGTATTCTTCTCTTCTAATTCACAATCAAAGCCTTGTTTCTACATATAGATAAGAGTACATTCAACGAGTGTTACACGAATGCGAGACTTTACATTAGTGGACGAATAAAATTTTAAGAGAAGATAAATTTATAAAAATTTTAGTGGAAAAAAAACAAATTATAAAAAAATCTTTAAAAATCTAATTTTTTTATGGAAATGACTGCTCCTTTCATTTTCTCTCGGGTCATCTCTGTAAACAAGTGAAGTATTGACCGAGGGATAAGGGTCAAACTCTAAATGAAGAGGTATCAATACGATTCTAGTATTGGGATATTAAGAGTATCAGCTCAACATATAGGGAGGAAGTCATAGCTAAGCATTGTTCTTAGCTTTTAGGACACGGAGCACGCGAAGATCAAATTAGAGTGTAGAAGAAACTTCATGGCCTTTTACTAACAAAGAATTATTACCCACTAATAAAATAATTATGATTTGAAATACACAAATGCAATATTTTGGTGTTCATCATGTCCATGTCTTCATCTGTATTTTTTAAACTTTTGATTTCTTCCGTTTGTTTTGGCAGAAACGAAGGGAACTTATCAACCGCCGCAACCGAAACGGTGAATAGACGCCGGTGGGTTTTGCATTGCGGGAACAAGGTGAGGGTGAGCATTTTTCGTCACCGGACGAATGGAATTAGCAACGCCCGGAGATTTACTTGTCCCTCCTCCATGAAGTGAGTGGTTGAGCATGCTTATAACTGACACTAACTGATAAACCTCGCAATCTGGACTTTTGCAATGGAGCTTCCTCTTCAGGCTAGTGGATGGCGCGTGCCATAACATCTTTTTCTATAACATCTTGCTAGCAATACTGATATATTAAAGGTGGATTTAGTTTGCGGAATAAAACAATATTTTTTTTAAAATAAAGTTTTTGAAACTAAAGATTATCTTTAAAAATATTTTTTATGTAATCTTTTTCTAAAGAAAATTCTAGAAAAGATAAACATGGATATTTATCACTAATTTTATAAGGCAGAATGTATAAATTGACACTAAATTATATTAAAATGATCATTTTAGGCATCAAACTTTCAAAAGTTATATAATAACATTATTTATTATAAAATAAAATGGGCACATCACTATTATTTATCGTTAAAGAAGTGATGTGGCATGCAACAGGATGGTTTTGGGAATGGTCCATGGTACAGGATCGATGATCTAACGATGAGAAATGGTATTATAGGGTGTGCTGAAGGGAACGATAATGTCAGGAACTCGGGTGGGGGAGGACTGAGGAGCAAGCCTTTCACCATTCACCACTCTCGAGACCAAATGGAGTTTATATATATATATTATGATTATGGATTTGTTAAACTTACAGCATTCGATCATTCGAACTTTGATGTTTGAATACAAGAAGAGCAGTGACAGGGAGAGTTATGATTCTTTCAGAATATCCCGGGATTATCGAGACATCTTGACCTGCACTGTGGATAGTTGCTCAGCTACAACACTTGTATCCTGAAAATAATTCAGTTTGCTGGTATTGTCTTGGGTCACCAGCCCGTGCATGCTGTCTGAAAATATTGCATGTGAATCCTACCCTCAAAACTGAATTTTTTGCAGTATTTCTGCCGGTAAATAAACTACTTGATAAAAGAATAATAATAAGCATCTTCAAGCTCACCGGCTTACAATGGGAATACTTTCTTGTACCTGAAATATAACAAGAATGAACAGTACAATAACCCACATCCAGCACCTGTTATAACCAGAACCCAAGTAAATGCAGATGGGTAATCGAAAACTGAAGCTACAAAGTTCATTCCAAAGACGCCTGCTACAGCAGCAAATAATGTGGCCACAAAAGTCGCTGCGGTGAGAAGCAACTCGAATTGAATCAGATGGTTTTGAACATTGCCCTGTTTGGGAAAAGAGGAAGAAAAATGATCTTTATTATTATTTTCATTTCCTATTTCCCAATGCATGGTAAAGAGAGGGCATCATTGAGACAGTAAATCAATCCTCACCAACTTAATGTTGATCAGATCTTCAGTATCATCGATGTACTCTTTCAGCTGAATAATCAATAAGATTGGGCATCAGTGGTTTACAAGGCATAGGCCATTCTCAACAATCTTAGAAATGTAATTGTTAGTTTCAAGTTGCCAGAACACTATTTGTGGTGCCTAAAGTCAATGCAACATCTATATGTTAAACTTAGCAGTGGCAAAAATAGACACATTGTTGATTCTTGTACCTCATCTGATTAGTGGTAGACCAGTAGGATACGATCAAACTAACATATCTATGGTAGGAAGTCAAAGGTCTCTTACCGATAACAACTTGCTGAGTGTATGATCAATAACAACAAAGTATGCTTCAAGTAACATTTCAAGTTGTTCAATATTTTCCCCATCATGTGAACTACTTAAGCTTCCTTGTTTGCTTGTCACAATACTGCTAAATGCCCTTTGCAGTCTCGGGGCTCCATTGGTCGATGCTATTGGTGAAACAGGAGCAGATTTTGAAACTAATCTGATCCCACTGAAAAAATTATTTTGAGCATTTAGTTCGCTGGGGGTGTTACCCTCTGACCTTTGTTTTTTCTCTGTGAGATACATCTCAGCCATGTCACCGTCATCATCCATAAGATGCTCTAATTCATCTCGTACCTGAAATTTCAATCTAAAATCAATTATATAAGAAACAAGACTACAGTAGGTGTATTCCACAAGGTACTGTATATAAACATCCGTACCTTCTGAACTCGCTGGGTTAATGTAAGGAGTTGACCCTTCAATCTACGAACACGTTCCAGGTTAAGGGTATTAATGGATGATGCTAATTCATCTAGCACTGGGTATATCTCCATTTCCAGTTCTCTCACCTATAGAAAAGAAATTTCCAGAATGTGAAGGATTTGGGCTAATATTGATTTTGTAATAACATGAACAATGATTCCATCCAATATCAGTTTACTTTGGTTTGAATCAACCTAACTACCCTAACCTTTTCTAGAAGACCAGATCCTATATCATCAGACAGACATTTGGCTTGATGAGATTACAATTGCATGCCAAATACAAAGATCTAGACATTGGGTGGAAAGAATCAACTATGGAAATAACAGATACTATCAGATCAGAACCTATCCAGTGTGTCGATTTATATGTATCTCTCAGTTTTTGACACCTCGTTGAAAGAGTCAGCTAGGAAAATAAAAAGTACCTCAAAGGATATCTACTTGAAAATAATTTTAGGATCTTAAAGACCATACAGGATGCACCTCTAGGATATCACCTCAGTGACGAGTAAAAGAAATTCAATGGGTTACATAACTGAAAAAAAAGGATTTGACGCATTCTTAACATTTAGGTAGTGATGGAGGTTATGGCATACCTTTACATCAAGGGACATGCAAGTTAGTTCCAATGCTAGTTCCAATGCCTTAAATTCAAACGGAAGGTCATCTGAATCAAACCAGCAGATGAATGTAAGCATGTTATATGACAATTTTATAAAAGTTCCAAACTGCCAAATAAATTAAGAAAGATGACACAATTAGAACTGTCATCAAAATCCCTAAGGAGACAAATAAATTTTGAAAGAATCATTAGAGTTAAATTTGTAACTTTTTTCTGAACTCAGAGAGATGTCTTTGTTTTTTCAGGAACAGCATAGCAGTCGAATTCAGTTACATTATCAAATGCTTCTCCACACACTATAACAAGTCAGTGGATATTGTGGAGATAGAGCCTAGGGCCTAGAGAAGAGCATATCAGATATTTTGCAACAATGGTTTCAACAGAAAATAGCAATCAAAATTGTTTATTGGTAAATATGTCAGCCATCCACTTGAAAACCAAATTAAACTACAGGCTAGTAAGAATGCATTTTTACCCGCTTGGTCTTTTTTCGTCTGAAGACGCTTGCATAATTCAGAATTGTATTGAACAACATTTATATCCAAAGAATTCATCAAGATAACCTCCTCAGCTGTGATTATACATCTTATTTGCTCAAGATTGACCACAATAGCCTTCTCCCTTCCTAGTATTGTTGAAGGATAAATAAATAAAGGGTCCAAAAGCCTTAGGTCTCTGGATGGCAAAGAACAGTGCCTCATAATTTTGGCTTTATCAAGCTCCAAAACCTTCGAATTCCCATCTTGATCAATCTTTATCCACGAACGACTGCTGAGTCCTCTCTTCTTCACACCTGGAAAGCCAGACCCACGATTGGCATGTGCACTTGAAGTAAGCCTTTCACCAATATTAGAAGATGTAGATTCAGGAACATCTGAGGGAAGAACATGCCCCCATGATTCTTCCATTGATCTTTGGTTTTTCCTCCTTTAATTCCAGGAAACAGTTTTGTGAAGAGGTAATTTATCAGTTGACATAGTAACAACAGCAGCTTGCTCACGAGATGGTAATGAGAATCTTGACAACTTCAGGTAGGTATATGAGAAAGCAAGCAATGTATCACTTTAGTGTGTGTGTGTGTATATATATATATACTGCTTTCAATGAAGAAAAATCACAGAATTAATAAAAGGAAACCCAAACTAATAAATCAATCATAGAAAAACTCGGCTCATTTTAGCAGCTGAAAATTTACAAGCAGAAAAGAAGGAAGAGGAATCCACTTTTAATCTCATGCTTCATTAGTCAATTCAACAAGGATCAAAAACCACAAATTCAACGGTAGAATGAAGTTAACTCAAACAGGTGTAATTCTCTATCGAAAAGCACAAATCCCAACACTCAAAACCCCTAAAATAGCATAAAAATACCAAATTAAGAAACATTTAATATGGTTCATTAATAAAATACACAGTATATAGTTAACTGAAACCGGTACAATCTTATAACAACAAGCAAAATTCCTAAGATTCCAAAACCCTAAAATAGCATTCGAGTACTAAAAATGTCAATTTATCTAGACACCCAAATATATAACAACAACCCAATCTTGTTCAGAAGATTAAGCGATAAAGCAAGCAAATTCCATGAACAATTTTTTTTTAAAAAAAAGACGAATAAGAAAAGGGGGAGAATACAAATGATTATACCACTTAAAAGGAAAGGTTCAAACTCCGCAAAAGTGGTGGAATGATGACATCTAGGATCCGCGATGTTGCATTTAATGGAAAGGAAGGGAGCGAGTGAAACAGCGGATGAAAACTGATTTGCCACCATTAAACAATTTCCATAAGCGTTTCTTGCGTTTTGGCTGTCTTGTTTTACACTTTACTACGTAACATTTTAACTTAATCTGTTTATCAACAAATAATCCAATCGTTAGATACATATTAAAATTACTTTTTTCTTTTTAATATTTTAGTATTACGTACGTATTTATTTATTTGACTCAATTATTGGTTAAATTAAATCTAATATTTTCATCTAACACAGTTTCCAAGTATAAAAAAAAATTAATTGATCTTATTCTCATATGTAATGGGATAAGGGAGAGGTAGGATAGTAGGTTGCCCTAACGTCAGGTTGAGAGCAGCTTCTGTGGAAGACATCCGTTATGAATTGTCCTCAGTGAGACTCGATCCTACGACCACAATATTAAGAGCCTTACACTCTACCAACTGAGCTTTGCGGTCTACCAACTGAACTAGACGAGCAATTCCAAATATGTTGATTAAAAAATAAAAATCTCTAAAGGAATAACTGCTATTATATAACGATAAAAGTATTATGTATAATTGTTACTGTACAATTGTGATACCCGTAATGACTGTAATAATACCTATTATTATCGTAATAGTAATAAACACAATGTAACTAAATATAACAACAACTTAAATTCATGATATCGATCACTATCACGAGAACTCATAGGTCTTGAGAAGACTAGTCATAAGATAATATAGTGATTAAAAAGGATAGAAGTCCAACAAACTCGAAAGAGAACAAAATCAGCTTTCCGGGGAGGAATCAAAATTCTTAAAGATCTATAATTGCCATGGTTATCCATTATATATGAAAAATTCAAAAATCATCATATAATAATCCAGAAATAGAAAAGAAAAAGAGAGGTTAATGATGATTTTAAAAATTTTTATACCAAAGAATCTAAATTTCTTATGCATGAAGATAATAAAGTCCGACCATAACGACGTTATGGTCGGACTTTATTATGGATTTCTAACTATATTATCCATAGGTTCCTCTTATATTATCCTTCTACGAGCTCGAGTTATGGAAGAAGGAACCCATAACAAGGTATCAACAACAACTGGTTTTATTGTAATATTGATAAGGAAACAAAGTAAATAATTTATCGTCGGAAAATAAACTTATATCACTGAAAGGTTCCAGATGAAGAGTTAATATCCACCACAATTATTTGCTGAATATGGAATAAAAATAAATTAAAATGAGAAAAATAAAAAATAAAAAGAACAAAACGAAACTAGAAAGCGACAACCTTTCTTTTGATCTTCTAGTGACCTTTGCTGATAAGGGAGAACATTGATCCTCCACCTAAAATGACTCGATAATAGATTAAAAAGGGAAAAAAATAGATCTGAATCATAAAAAGAAGGCACATTGATAATATAAATTGAAAAGGAAAAACTGAGAGAAGAAGAAGAAGAAAATATCATTAGAAGTAGATTTTAATCGATGATGTTGGTGAGTAATAATCGAAGACAAGAGATTTTGATTAGATTTAAAAATTAAATTAATATTATTAAAATAAATAATTTTCAAATTAAATGTCAAATTTATATTTACTAATATTAAAATAAAAATCAACTTTTTCACTATAACAACATTAAATAATGTTTAAATCATCATAATATTATAAATCGATAATATAAATATTCAAAGTATTACTATTTTCTTAGAATTAATTTAAAAAATCAAAAATAAACTAGGTTGACCAATTTATGGTTTACCCTAGTATAATATATAGTATCACATCGTTTGGAAAAGAGAGATGCTGATGCTGATGGAAAGAATTAGATGGGATGCAAAATGGGACCCACAATCAGCCTGGTCTTCCATGAAGCCGCCTTGTGTGGATGAACGGTTCAGACTCACAATTTCCTCCCCCTAAGAAAACAACGCATTACAACCATTTTTCTGCCGTTATGAAACAAAGAGGACATCCCGGGATCTCTGTCCAAATTTGTGAATTTGGAGGTTTTGAATTTAGCTGGGAGTAAGCTGAAGGGGTCTATGCGTGGTTATCTTGGAGGTTTCTACAAGTTGAAGGGTCTTTATTTGTCTAATAATCAGATAAACGGGTCGATTTTCGAGAATTTTGGACGTAATTGTCGGTATCTAGAGTATCTTGATCTGTCGGGGAATTTCTTAGTTGGGAGGATTCCTGATAGTCTGGGGAATTGTCAACGTTTACAGACTCTTTTGTTGTTTTCGAACATGTTGGATGGTGTTATTCCTAATGAACTCGGCCAACTGCATAAGCTCGAGATTCTCGATGTTTCTAGAAGCAAACATAGCGGTTTAATCCCCGCAGAGCTTGAAAATTTTGTTTGGTTGTCGGTTCTTGTCCTTTCTAATCTCTTTGATCATGTGCTGAGTGAGCAGAGTTCAAGTGCAGAGCTATCATTTAGATTGCCACTTGCTACGACTGATGAGCATAATCGTTTACGAGGCTCCATTCCCATGACAACTACTACCCTTCCGAAGCTTAGAATGCTTTGGGTGCCGAGGGCAAATCTTGGGGGAAGTTGGCAAGGAATTGGCACAGCTGTGAGAATTTGGAAATCGTGAACTTAGCTCATAACAACTTCAGTGGGGAAATATTTGGAGTGTTCAATGGATGCAAGAAATTGCAGCATCTAGATTTGAGCTCGAACAGGCTAACCGGCCAGCTTGATGATAAACTTCCAGTTCCTTGTATGTCACGCTTTGATATCAGTGGAAACCTCATGTCTGGATCAATCCCCGGATTTAATCACAGAGTATGCCCTGGCTTTTCCTCCTCGAGTTATGAACTTCTCCGAATCCGTGATCTGGCATCTGCATATTTATCATTCTTTAAATATAAAAACAACTTGCAATGATTTTGCCATTTTCCGGTTTGAAAGCGATGTTAGTTCACAATTTTGGCCGAAATAACTTCTCTGGTTCGCTCCCAAGGCTGCCAATTGCATCAACGAGAACGGAGGACCAGATTGTTTATGCATTTCTCGCTGGTGGAAACAAGCTCACTGGATCAATTCGAAGTTTGTTTGGGAACTGTAACAAGGTCCATGGGATGATTGCTAATGTCAGCATGAACCGATTGTCCGGTCATATTCCGTTAAGAATTGGTGCAATCTGCATATCTCTTAGATATTTGGATGCCTCCGAGAATCAAATTACCGAGATAATTCCCCAAAAGCTTCAGGGACTTGAAGTCTCTTGTTTTTCTTGACCTAAGTGGAAACAAGCTTAGAGGTTTGATTCCCAAAGGGCTTCATCAGTTGAAGCACCAGGAAATGGGTCTTCCCTTCCAGGGCACAGGTTTCCGAATCAAGGGAAATAACCACTTTCGTTGACATTGGGGTTCCATTGACATATGAAAAAATTGTCCAGGCCACGGGGAAATTTAGTGTTGGCAACTGCATTGGGAACGGAGGTTTTGGTGCGACTTACAAGGCTGAAATAGCTCCGGAAACCCTAGTTGCAGTGAAGAGGCTTGCTGTCAGTAGGTTCCAAGGTGATCAGCAGTTCTATGCTGAGGTAAAGACCCTCAAAACAATGAGGCACCCTAATCTTGTGACTCTAATAGGGTATCATGCCAGTGAAACAGAGATGTTTCTCATATACAATTATTTTTCAGGTGGTAATTTAGAAAATTTTATTAAGGAAAGGTCCGCAAGAGCTGTGGATTGGAAGATTATTCACAATATTGCTCTGGATATAGCCCATGCACTTGTATACCTGCATGACCAATGCACTCCGAAGGTTCTGCATCGGGACGTCAAGCCAAGTAACATATTGTTGGACGATGATTGTAATGCTCATGTGTCTGATTTCGGATTTTCAAGGCTTTTGGGTACCTCCAAAACCCACGCAACAAAAGTGTGGGTGTGGCTGGAACATTCAGATATGTTGCACCAGAGTATGCTATGACCTGTCGTGTATCTGAGAAGGCCGATGTCTACAACTATGGGGTCGTGCTGTTTGAGTTGATATCATATAAGAAAGCCTTGGATCCTTCGTTTTTTGCTCATGAAAATGGCTTCAATATCATCTCTTGGGCCTGCATGATGTTGCGATAGGGTCAAGCAAATGATGTGTTCACTACAAGGTTGTGGGAAAACAGTCCGCACGACCACCTCATGGAACTGCTGCACTTGGCCATTACGTGCACGGTCGATAGCCTCTCAATTAACGAGGCCAACGATGAGGCAAGTTGTCCATTGGTTAAAGCGAATTCGACCTCCTCCGGAAGTTTAATATGGTTTATTTGAGCATGCTATGATCCCGATGGAACTGCTTAATTGCACAAAACAATGAAAATCATAACAGACTTGTAGTTTTTACATTCGCACCTAAAATAAGAACTGTCTTCCCCTGGCTGAGAATAACCCTAAATGATCTGCAGAAAAATAAAAGATGAGAATTTGGGAGAAAAAAAAAGTGTTTGTACGCTGCTTTATGCATGTTTTCCATTTCCATTGCTTTTGTAATGCTGAACTTGGTAGGTTTAGCAATTTAATATGTTCCTTATTTGATATCTTGAGCTTTCTATGAACAATGTTGAAAATCTAATGAGATATTGCAACTTTCGTGTTTATTTTCATGGATCCTATCATTTATTTCCTTCTTTATGGTATCAATATCTTTTACTCTCTTGGTAAAGATTTTTTATGAGTAAATATTGTAGCTTTATATCTTAGATTATATCTTTCCATGTCAGACACATTATCCTCGCTTCTTCTCCCTTACCATACTTGTATAGAATGCCGTTTACTCCATTCCCGTTCAGACCGTCTCCCCTCGTGAAAACGCAAGGCATGTCCTCGTTCTCTACCTCTATTTTCGACCATTTTACGAAGTGTTTCGACCTCGGATCCAAGAGTTTTGAGGGATTCGTTTATTTTTTACCTTGGAAGAATATGTAGCCTCTTGGTTGATTTGATCTTGCAAGGACTGAGTGCAACCGGAGCTTCCTGCTTCACCAGAATTGCTTGCTCCTGCAATGCATGGGATCAGAAGAATATGAAAACCGGCTGCAATCAATTGCCTAGTCATAAATTCTCAAGAACGATGATCGACGTGTCGCTAATATTGAAATACATTTTGGTGGTCGTGATGGTTC